TCTCTTCTCTTCTCTTCTCTTCTCTTCTCTTCTCTTCTCTTCTCTTCTCTTCTCTTCTCTTCTTTCTCTTCTCTTCTCTTCTCTTTTTTCCCTTTCCTTCCCTTCTCCTCCTATCCCTCATCTCTGTGATCTCTTCCTTTTGTAATTTCCCATTAAATTTGGTTATTATCATTTAATAACTTGTCGAGAATCTCAGAGAGGCAGCAAACAGCTTGATGCCTTTTCTGTTGCAAGTAAAATTCACTCAAAGTTCACTTCATCAAATATGCACACATTGCTGCTGTGTTTTTGGGCTGTCTCACAATGTGCCTTTACCACAAAATCACTGGGTTCCAGAGCCAGGCTGTATGTTACAAAGGTTCTTCAGAAGAATAGAGGTTCTTCACCCCATATTTCCAGACAACATAACATCTAGATTTTTGGTGCATCACAGTTTTGCCTAAAAAAATGTCAGTAGCTCCTCCTCCTCCTCCTCCTTGCAAATAAAACGAGTTGCCAAAATAAATGAAGGGGAGGCAGTGCAGCTCAAAATCATTAGAGGTGATATGGCAGAATCCAACCAGGAGTGAACAGCAGCCTTGTGTGCTAAGGGAACTCGTAGAGGATACAAGGACGATGAGATGTTGCAGGATTCACATTTTATTAAGCCCATTCCACAGCTTGACATAATAGACACATGACCTTTCTATAATTATTAAAGCACATATAAGCTTCTTTTCAGTATACTTTGGCTTTCTCAATTATCCAGCATACATCAGCAATAATATCTCACATTCTAAAGCCAGTTTGAACATCTAGCACGTCTTTTTCCATGTAAGGCTTTGATATGTCAGACGATCCTAAGCATCATTTTGTTAGCATGTGAAATTAAGGCTCTTGTACATATTCTGATCAATTCCTCTTCTTTGGTATTGGAATGTAGACTGACCTCTTCCAATCTATGAGCCATTGTGTTGTTCTCTGGCTTGCTGGTATAGCTTGATTAAAACCTTTTCGGATTCTTCTTCTGTTGCTTGCCATATTACATGACCCATGGTGGCACAATGGTTAGAATACAGCACTGCAGGCTAATTCTGCTGACTGATGGCTACCATTCTCACTGGCTCAAAGTTGACTCAGCCTTCCATCCTTCCAAGGCTGGTAAAATAAGGACCAGATTGTTGAGGGCAAGTCGCTGACTATGTAAACCATTTAGAGAGGCCTGTAAAGCACTGTGAAGCAATGTACATCTAAGCAATATTGCTATTGCTATTTCAGTGGGTATTCCATCAGCTCCTGTAGCCTTCCAAGTTGGTCATCTAACATCATCTTCTAGTTCTAGAGGTTCTTGTAATTAGGGTTCTAAAGTATCTTGGATATTGATATCTCTACTGAACAGAATTTCCTTCCATCTTTCTTTGATCTTTTTGGAGCCAGTTATTCATAGTACATTGTCATCTTTTAGCATACCAGTTTGAGATGGGAATCTCCTTCTGAGTTCAGAGATCTTTTGAAAGACTTCCCTTGTTTTTCATATCTGTTTTCATAGTCAATATCTTTACATGTATCATCGTAAAAATGTTTCTGCTAACATCTCTTTGAAACATTTTCTAAAGTTCCTTCCTGAAGTTTTGTCTGTCTTGGTTTTGGTTTCTCTTCTCTTCTTGGAGATCTCCATGGTTTGTTCTGAGATTCAGTTGTTCTTCTTCTGTTCCTTGTTTTTTGGCAGTCTCATTTTACATTCATCTTGAATTATTTCTTTAAGTCCATTCCATGCTTTCTCTGATTATCAATGAGGCTGAGGAACTAGAAGCAATTACGGATGTTCTCCTTGAATATGGTGATTGAAGATCATCTTGTGAAAAATAGTTGGCTTTCTCCTTGCACCATAGTGTGACTTGGGGCTTGGGTATCAACAACATATATGTGTTTCACCGTCACTCCTGGCCATGTCATTGCTATTCTACCTCATAATAATACAGTCCTCCTTCTCATGATATCCAGCTATATAGGTACTCTTTTGGTAGTTTGAAGGTTGTGTTAACTATGAAGAAAGCATTAAATTGTTGATAAGAACCTGAGGTTTCATTGAGGCTTCCTAGCCACACAGTCCAACGACATTTTCTCTCTGGAGGTTTCCAACTTTGGTATTCTGGGCTCCAACTACATCTTG